CCTTTCAGACTCAACTTTTTAAAGCAGAGTATACTTTTTCTGTTGGTTACCAAACAACTGGGTAAAAAAAGTGCCAAAATGTAGCTTTTTCAGCTAATTTAGGATCTGAAAATGTTTTGAGGCATTCCAAAGCCCTTCATTGGTCTGGGAAGTTTGTATGCGGGGCACAAAAAGCCCACTCTACAACAAATCATTCCACCCGGACCAACTTATTCAATAGCACACTGCTTCCCGCGGCTGGCATAGTCATGGGAGGCAACAAAAGCCCCCAGGGTGGTGATTTAGAGAGAACTTGATCCTGTAGCATATGGACCCGGTCAGCTGCAGAGCAAACCAGTTGGCAGGCATGGAGTTGTCTGAATGGATTGCAGACAACTCCCATTTCGTCCTGTAACACAATTTTATCCAAAGGGCAAAATCCTCAGTAGGGACACTACTGGGCTGCACAATGTTAGAAAACATTTCGATAGAGATACTTAGGATGATTATTTACATCTTTTCTCTCTTTCTCATTTGTGCTTCCATTACACTTTGACCTTTAGCATCCTGGATAACATAAGTAGTGTCTGGTGTGAACATCTGCTGCCAAGAGACTCTGTTTAACTTGCTAAATCCTTCACTGGGATGATCATTTTAAGTTTATACCAATTACTCCAGAGCAGAGATCTCTAGAAATGGCAGAACTGCAGCACAGATGTTGCAGAATGACCCAAAAATATAGCTTGAGCTCTACACTTTGGCTCTATACCCACCTCAGCTTTCATAGTGCTTGGAACTGAAGGGCACCCTAACAGCACAAGTTTTCAATTACCTTAGCAATAACATGGTAATTTGAGGGGCTCTCAAAAATGCAAATTTAATTTCCGAGGACTAAAGTGTACCCAAATACGTAATATAGATGACAACTATGACATCACAGAAATGGTAAAGTATTTGGTTCTGATGCAGAAGAACAGTTCATTTTAAGTGGAACAACTGTACTGTTTGTAACTGGACACATAAGCATTACAGGTGTCAACTGATCCACAGAATCCGCCCCATTTCCTCATGTGTACACAAGTCGGATGGTAACGGCCTGACAGCTGATTGGTGGATATAATATTCCTGAAAATAGATCTTATCTAGGGTTTAATGTGAGATGTTTTTTGCTTTGCTGCTTATTGTATCCAAACCATGCTGATACTTCAGGATCCTTCAGAGGCTTTGCTGGATTTCTGCCTGTCATCTGTTCAGTGCTACAGCAAATGACTTGAATGAAATAGTTTCACTTGATAATGTGGAATTTCATGTACATTATGAGATTATTTATGTCTCAAATGGGCACTTTTATCTATTTGATGGAAAAAAAAAAAGTTGTTGGATTAACTTCGATTTGAGAATGCCCTAAAGTTTTTCATGTTTTAGAGGCTCACCCTTTGTACCTTGTCATTACATCTCAAGCAGCCTTTTCCTTTCTACTCCCTGGCCCTTCGCCCGGTTTAATGGATTTTCCCTTATAAAATCCATCACATCCATCAGGTCCCACATCTGAGCTCATTCTCCTGTATCGTTTGAGTAACTGCATCTGCATCCTACTTGTTTTAGTCAAGAAAGCTCCTAAAACTTTAAATTAGTTGTATCGTAGGTAGGTGCATCTTTAATAAGTCTTGATGTAGCGTGAGATTGGAGGGGAAAAAATGGGGCCTGAAATATGATTTTCTAAACAATAGAGACAGATGTTGTTTTCTAGCAGTCATTTCCCTTAGAATCCAGATTGTTTTATGACTACTAATATATTGTCTTTAAGGACGAAATGAATAAACTGAACATAATTAAAAGTAGGGTTAAGTTTCATCAGCTTGGAAACTTTAAAGATGAAGCACTTTTTCCAGGATTGCATAAGTTAGTTAGCTGATACACCTCTGAATGACAGGACTAAAAAGTCCAGATGTTTGGCAGTGATGTACAGCTGCAGGAAAAAAAAAACTAATAGATCATATCTGTTTGAAAGGCTCACGCAGCCCAGTGGTGGTAGGTGGGGGGTTATGATTTACATTTGTTGTTTGTTTGGCTAGCGGTCATTGTTTTTGCCCCTTAACTCCTTCATATATAGAGGAAAGTCAGGAGTCAAATGTGAGGCTATTTGTCTGACGGGTGCAGATGATTGAAACTTAATCATCAATTGGAAGATGGTGACTAACTTCACAGGTCTCTGAGATATGAGACACAGGGCTCTTTTAATAAACATCTCTGTCATAAAGAATAACAGTACATGTACAGATATGGATGACAGATGTTAATGCTAAATGCAAATATACAAGATGTGGGATCATGCACGGCTTGTGGGATTTAGTTTTACCTCTGCATTTCTCACTTTGGAAATAAAATGCATAACAGAAATGCAACAGTTTTTATAATGCTGCACAAATAATAATGTACTCAAACCTAGTTGTGTTATCTATACCTTTTTATTAGAATTTAATCTACAATGTTAAATAATCATCCCCTTAATATATGCTTTGAGTAGAGCAGCAATTTCAATCCCACCGTCTACAGCTCTGTTGTAACGGGGATCCATCTCAAGTTGTGAAGCCTGCCGCTGCAGACCGCCGGTGTGGAATATTGTCCATTTCTGCTGCTAATATATTTTTATTATAAATCCCTTCCAGCTGCTGATCTAGCCTCCTCTGTAACGGGGGCTGAAGTGTATGAGCCTTGTTTAAGCCAGCCAAAGAACGAAGCGTGCCCCAAGTTTTGTGTGATTCTGGAAACTTAGTTTAAAAAAAAAACAACTTTGAGCATTGAAGTCAAAACCCTCTAGCTTCAAAGAAGGTCACTCTGAAAATTTCTAACAGATCCATAAAGATGGAAGTCTTTAAATGACTTTCTAATCAACAGTGTTGTCAGAAAATCTATTAAAGCCTGATTTAGCCGTTTGAATTGACCAGGAAGTCATCCCTGGAACACGAGGGGAATCAATGAGCTTCTTCCAGCAGAGGCTGCTCTCCTGGCAACCTTTCAGTTTAAATTCCCCTCATGTGGGCAGAAGTTGGGGAAATCTTTTTTTATCAGGCTGCAGTATTGTTTTCCAAGCATTTATGCAGTTTTTGTATTGCTTTAGTTTCTATCACATGTCTGCAGCTGCGCCCCCAGGCTCTGCTTCACCTTGTGATGGTAGCAGCTCTATCTTTACTTATCTGTTTGTTGGCCTCTTTGGTGGCTGAATGTGAACAGATGTGAGCCGTCTGAGTCGACTTCAACAGTAAGCTAAACCAAAGTTGGTTTCTCTCTTTAAGCTGCTGTGTTTCACCGTACTCTCTTTTATAGCTCTGCTGGGGCGCCATTGATCCTTGTGTCATTTTCGACTTGCTTTTTGTTGCAGAATAACTTCAGCCGTTCCTAATCTGGTAATATGTGCTACTGTATCACTCCCTGTTGTGACTACACACAAGCAAACACTTTGCTTCAGTGTGTTTGTGATTAAGCCTCACTTTAAGCCCTGCTGTGGTCCATTTAGTCCTCCTGGGGCAACAGTTTAATCTTTTCTGAATTAGCTTTTAAAATATGTTTGTAAAGGGAACCTTTTCAGGAACAACAGCTCCAAAGTTGAACTTGTTTCTGGCCTTCTCTTCAGTGGATTGAAGCATTGATCACAAAGCCTTACATCACTGTTTGCACCAATTAGTTGAGAGGAAATCTGTTGTTTTCTGTACGATTACTGGATCAAATACTGAAAAATCTTTATTTTGCTGTTTAATGAGCCTCAACTCTGAGAATATCCACCATTTTTTGCGGACTATAATTTCATCAACCTAAGACTTTAATATTAAAACATAAATTTTTGGGTTAAAAAAAATGGATACATAATTTTATGGTTGCTTCATTTTACTTTTGGATTCAAAACTGTTATCTGTATGAAGAAATTTCTGTTCGGGGTGTTACTGGACCCTGCTTTAACTCAGGATTAGGAATGATGGGATCCATTTCAAACCTGGTGAGCCAATAAAGCTTAAGTAGCTCCATCTTAACAGCTGTGTCCTAGAATGAGACAGCCAGGGTTTAAACTCTGCAATTGTTTTTTTTAATCTCTATTTTCAGTGAGTTGTTAAAACATGTCACAGATCCTGTTATCGGTTTCTCGGTTGTAAATCAGCTGCAGAGTTTATGCTCAAACATTCAATTCATAAACCTCAGAGCTGAAGCTGGACTCATAATCCTGTTTGAAACTTTAAGAGACAAAACTTGGAACAAAAGCAAAGTTAAAAAGCCAATTCTCTATGGGGTTCTTTAAGAAGTTTGAGATAGAAAGCTGTGAATCAGTTGGATTTTGCTTTAGATGCTCTGGTGCCGTTTTCTTGTTTTCATATGGAGGCGGTCCAGAGTCCTGGCAATGTTCTGAGTCCCCATCCTCCAGTATCTAGGAAAGATCCAGTGACCTAATCAGCTCCCGTCACTATTCTCTGCATGGTTTACATGCAGTTTACATAAAAATGCTAAAAATCCTCCTGCTTGCAAATAAGGTTACCGTTTCTCTGATCACAGTATGTTTTTATACAAGTCTTTTATGGGTGTACAATAATGCAGTTGAAGTTTAGAACATTCAAGTACCTCATCAAAGGTGGATCCATAAGGCAAAGTTACCCATCAAACTAAACTTTTTACGCATCATATTTACATTTAAAAATGGCGCCGTTTGATGAGTGCAAGTGTTTGTGATAATGATTGAATTCAGGCTAAAATAGACGTCACTTAAGCTCTGAATAATGTGCTAATGTGGGTTTTGTTCAGACATAAAAACACTTTAAAGTTATGAAAACCTTTTATTTGAAGGCAAGCTTTTTTTGTATTATTTTAAATTATCTGTAATCTTTCCTCTTTTTATTATGTAATATTTTCAGTCAGAGGGAACACAACACAAAAATAAAATCCTTGATTGATGAACTGCTTAACTTGCTATCAACCTAATCAAATACGGTAAGTGAAATACTGTAATTAATGATCTACATTTTTCTATCCATTAGGGGGCTTTTCTGTGGTGTTCCTGGCTCGGACGCATAGCGGCGTCCGCTGCGCTCTTAAAAGAATGTACGTGAACAACGTGCCGGACCTGAATGTCTACAAGAGAGAGATCACCATCATGGTGAGAAGTTTTGCACTCTTGCTCATAATGACTGCAATATTGCTGCTCTAAAGAGGTGATGTTAGAAGTCAGTTTGTTCCACCTACATCTTCTAGTCTCTGTTAAATAATACATTGGAATCTACCTGGCTTATAATGTAAAAACTGACTAAATCAGTTTTGGGTTTGTTTACAGTTCTTGTTTCTGCAGCTCCACACTCCACAGAGCCCTATGGCTCACTGTAAAACACATTGAATCATGAAGCAGGTTGCATCATAAACACCTCCCTCCCCCTCCTCTTTCCAGCATTTCCAGTCTGGTGAGAGCAAAACAGACTTTTAGCAGAGAGCTTACTGACATGGCGTAAATGAACCTGGTCGATCTTTAAACGACTTCGATCTGTTGCACATGATTGCCTCAGCGCACTCCAAACGTTTTAGCTGCTAAACCCTCATAATTTTTTTTATATATTTCCAAAGCCCCTCAGACATATTTGACCCTGACGGACTGAATCATTATGAGCGTTTGACCCCGGAGTGCGGACGAGCAGCTCGATCAGAGCCATTCAGGCTGCTTTGTCAGTCTGTTCGCTGTGTCATCATCTAGAACGATGTGCAGCTCCCACACCCACAGCTGACCTTAAACGTTGACACAGTTTGGGCCTGTTGGGACATTGCCTTAGGTGTGTTGGTTTCCACAACACACACTTCTCATGCTGGCCTTTAACTACCGACAAACAATCGCTTTATGTCAGTAAAGCATAATCAGCAGAATTACTTTGAGCAGAAGATGGGAGCTGAATGAAAGGAGTTCCGAAAGGTAAACTAATTCAGTGCAAGTAGCTCAACATGAATATTAAAATGTTACATTTATTAAAGAGTGAGTTTATAATTTTTTTGTATTCTAGTCATTTTAGTTAAGGCTTTAAAGGTGCAGTTGAACCTCAGTGCTCCTTGGCTTTAGCAACCAGTCTGTTTTGTTTTTTTTTCATCAGAGGAAAAGAAAACCTTATTTATTAAAAAAAAACTCCACCTTGTAATCCACCTTGTCGCTGCTGCCTGCGTCACAAACCTGACACAGCAGGAACTACGTTTACAAAGCAGTTATTTCTGCTTTGCTTCATGCATGCTCTGCATGAGCGATTGCTGCAAAGTAGCCAACACGATTTAGTCATTAGAAAATGTATTATTTGATATAATAAACTGAACTGTAATACTTTTATACCCAGGATTGACTCTGTATGATTTATTTGCACTTACATATTTTGTAAACAAACTGGATCTGTTTTTTTTTATTTTTTATTTAAGGTTTCTTAAGTCATTAGCAGTGAATCGTTGGTATATAAAAACACATAAAGCATTTAGTTTATTTAAGTGTGAGCCTTTTATTGAAGCTCTGTTATAAAGATTACTATTCCCAGTTGTGACTCAGCACTGGCGGAATAAAACGATAACCACTACCTACTCCAACAGGCCTATTGTTTTTTTTTTTCTTTACCATTTAATCAAAATAGTAACTATTTTTCTTAGCAGTTAAAGTTTGGACACATTTTCTGTGTCACATGTTTCAGATAATGTGTGAACATGTTTGTATTTCTGGACTTGCCTCTAGATCTTACTCTATAATATTCCATCTGTTCCCCAATCAGGATGTTGATCTGTCCACACATCAATCCATCTGACTGTCTCATCTATACATTCTGTCCTTCTATTTTTTTTCGCAGTCCTTCACTTTATTTATTTATTTATCTATCTATCTGTCTTTCTGTCATTTCAATTCAGTTTGTTTATACAGCGCCAATTCACAACCCGTCATCTCTTGGCACTTTACAGAAACAATTCAACCAGATTCAAAGTTTTCTATTTAAGGAAAACCAGCAGATCAACCCATTGACTCGAAGGCAATCCCTCACGCCAAGCATGCTTGTAGCGACAGTGGAGAGGAAATCTCCCTTTTAACGGGAAGAAACCTCCAGCGGAACCAGGCTCAGTGTGAGCGGCCTTCTGCTGAGGCCGATTGCTGTTCAATGAGACAGAAGCAGATATACAGATAAAAACAGAGATACAAAAGGCAACTTTTAAGCTTTTGAGGAAAGACACAGCCAGGCAGATGATTTTGAACTAACAGATTCTGCAGAGTTGGAGAATATAGAATGGAGCAGAATGATGAAAAGGGGGGTTCCTATGTCATCCAGCAGTCTAAGCATATCTATAGAGAAAGGTCGGGATAACCTGAGCCACTCTAACTAAAAGCTTTATCAAAAAGGAAAGTTTTAAGCCTAGCCTTAAAAGTAGACAGGGTGGACTAAAACTGGTGGTTGGTTCCACAGGAGAGGAGCCTGATAACTAAAAGATCTGCCTCCCTGGGAACTTGTTAGGAAAGTAGAAAATAACATTTGTTTTGGTTGATGGATCTTGAATGTTTGTTTGTATCCTTATCTTTCCTATGTTTTTCACCCTGCCTGCAGAAAGAGCTGTCGGGCCACAAGAACATTGTCCGTTACCTGGACTCGACAATCAGCTCGGTTTCAGACAGTGTGTGGGAGGTCCTGATTCTCATGGAGTACTGCAAAGGTAAGCTGGGGAAGATTCTCAGTCATCTAGGCCAGAGGTCTTCAACAGGGGGGCCGCGAACCCTAGGGGGTCCGCAGAGGTACTGCATGGGGGTCGCGAAATTTTGGTTAATTAGACTTATATTCCCCCCTGCAATATTTTCCACTAATTGAAATGTCTTTAAATCCACATTAACATGAATTCAACACACTGTAGTAAACAGATAAATGGAGGCAGAAGATGTCTTTCAGTCATCAATGCAGATCTGCGTTTCTGAGTAAAAATAAGTCAAATACACAAAATTTCATACAATATATAAAATAAGGGGGTCCCCGCTCCATCTCGCCATCAGTTTGGGGGTCCTTAGCCTGGAAAACGTTGAAGACCCCTGATCTAGGCCATAGTCATAAAAAAAAAAAAAAAAAGATTCAAAAATTTAAAAAGCAATCCACTGGACTTTGTTTTCCAAGTTTGTAGACGTTTCGCTTCGCATTCAGGAAGCTTTTTCCATTTAAAATGTCTGGAATAGCGTTGAGTTCCAAGGTTCATAGAGTAGCGAAACAAAGCCTCATAATGGTTAAGAAAACATGCAAATAGAACCGAAAAAACAGGTCCACCCAGTGGTGGCAGGTGGAGTTAATTTTTTTACATAAATCATGCCCTTCTGAGGCTTTATCAGAGTAAATCTGTGTTTTGCATGGTCCAATATTGTTTCACAAACCTAAAACAATAACGTACCAGTTTAATAATGGAGAAGCTATTTGTAAGCTTTATAGTTTTTAATATATATAAAAGCTATTTAAGAGCAACTATGCAAATTTACAAACATCTAGAAAAAGTACACTATTATATTACTTTCCATGTGAATCTCAGATTGTTCATGCTTCCTTTCCTTTTCTAAAAAGTGCTTTAAATCAGTCCTACCTTTCTTTATCCATGCTGGGTCAGATCCTGATGTTTAAAAAAGGAGGCAGAGAAAGCAGAATAAAGCGTTAGCCTCGCTCCATGCAGTTAGCCAAGCCTTGCAGCTAAACAGGACCTGGAAAAGGAAGTTTCTTGCCCCATTTCTTTCTCTCTCTCTCTCTTTCTCTCCCCCCCCCCGCCTCGAGCTTCCCTATACCTTTGTATTGCAGACGCATGGACAACTTCTAACGAGAGTCAATGGGTAAAGATTTTTGCCCCCAGTGCAGAAATAACTCATCAATCCAACGTAAAATGAAGTGACGCTTCACTTGTCATTAAAGATTCAATACATATCTTGAAAAGCTAAAAAAAATATGTCAATATATTTCGAAATATTTTAAATTTGAATTTAAAATGAAATTATAAGAAACAGTACACACATTTCTGTCTTAATAAGGGTCATTTAGTAGGTGGTGCGGCGCCCTAGCGCCCTCTATTGACCAGCCGCCGCTGAGTCCACCCATTAAGTTTGTTGAGGTCTTTGTTGACCTGCATGCCTATAAAGCTTGGAATTCAATGCCAATCCGGACATTTCGAATTGAAAAAGCATCACGGATGGGAAGCGAAACGTCTTCAAACTTGGAAAACAAAGTCCAATGGGTTGTTTATTAACAATTTTTGTAATACTGCAAAAGTAAAAAAAAAAAAAAAAACCTTTCTGGAAATAGAAAATCAGAGGATTTTTTTTTTATAACCCTGATATATTTTTCTGCTTTTAAAATCCACTTCTCAGAAGTCTGAATGATTTTATAGATCATGCCACTGCTGGGCTCACCTGGTAAACGACTGTCTCGGTTGCTAGCTTCCCCTAAACTTTAAAAGTAATGATTAAAACTGATCTGTTGTATCCTAACAGCTACTTGATAAAGATTCAACTTTGGTCAACTGGAGCTGAATGCTTAAAGCGGAATGCCGTTTTTTTTGTTTTTTTCTTTTACATTGGGCCCATGATTTTACGTTATTACATCATGTTCTACTCACCCATATCAGTTTTGCGTCATTTGGAGCTGTCTGGGGGACAGACATCCGCGATTATAATTTTTTAAAACAAAGCGGAACGTGTATGATGTCATCCGCTCTCCGGACTGGAGTTGTGACAGGCAGCCCAGGCATCAGGCGGCTACGCTCTACCCCTTCTATTCGTTCGACTAGCTAATCTGAATCGTTCAATTCCATTTGGAGAGAGAGATCATCTGTGGTAGAAGCACCAGACATCTTCCAGGCACGTGAGGGAAACTGGAAGCAGTTCAGCGGACAGGATGAATGAATGGTAGCCGGCGCGCATGGATGACGTCATACACACTCCACTTTGTTTTAAAAAAACATAAATATAAAAATATAACCGTGGATGTCTGGGGGACAGTGAAATGCCTACATGTTATGAATGCTGGCGTACCATAAATAATAAATTATGAACAGTTTAGTTTACGACGTTACTTGGATATAACCTAACCGAATATCTCATATGGGTGAGTAGGAAATGATGTAATAACCTAAAATCAAGGGCCCAATGTAAAAAAAAAAAAAAAAAATGCCGTTCCCCTTGAATCTTGATGCTCCTCATTTTGTTTTTCAAAATTGGAAAAAAAGCAAATGTTCCTACAGGGGAAAAATAACCTTGATAATAGCCGGACACATACTAGCATGGTTTGTTTCTACAACCTTAACGAGGAAGTTGATGAGTGTTGTTTTTCTTTTTTTGCAGCGGGTCAGGTAGTGAAGCAGATGAACCAGCGGTTAAATGTGGGTTTCAGTGAAGCCGAGGTCCTCCACATCTTCTGTGACACATGTGAAGCTGTGGCTCGCCTTCATCAATGCAAGACCCCCATCATTCACAGGGACCTTAAGGTGAGGGGGACATAAGTACATCTGGAGTTCCTGCACTGTCTGCAGAAGTCTATAAGTGTTTTCTAGGTTTGGGTGAGTATAAAAGC